CTTTATTTGGAGCCTTTTAACACTTTTAATTCTTAACAAAGATTATTTCTTGTATCGGATTGGCCTGCACATCGACATCCGGTTACATGAGACTACATACAAAACGTTTCAAGGAGAGCTGAGGAAGAGAAACAGTAGTCGGAAATGGATCAAACATGAAATTAATCACTAAAAGTCAGTGTACACAAACATTCTGCTCTGACTATGAAAGAGGAAGAAATAAGAAGAAAAGTCTTTTTTTAATTTTGATACTGATAGATAGGATATATTTCCCCTGGCAAATTATACACTTTTTCGTGAACTCTGTGAATTAGAATAAAAAAAGTGGTTAATCAGCCTGAATGAATTAGGAATGGTGCTCAACTCTTCGTGAAAGCGGCCGTTCACGCTTCATTACATGTACGCCTTTGAGTTCAATGGATTTCTCCAATAGGAGGGAGTGCTGTATGCAAAGATGTGAATGTAACAAGGATGATGTCTGTCCGTGGAAACAAACATCTTAGAAGATATGCATTTTATGCCTTTCTGGGTTATACGTTCTGTACGTGTTCAAGGGGCAGGCGTGCTTATGTCTCTTCGTGAAAACGTATAACGCTGGAATTGAGCTGCCTCCATTAATGCTGCAACATTAATGAAATTTGGACATGTTTCAGAGCAATGTATCAAAACAAAATATTGAAAAACTCAGCATGGTCAAAACTTCTTTTTTGACATGTTCACGTCTTTGTGAAACAATGACGTGTCTTCACCGACCAGATTTGCCACAACTGCCAGATTTCAAGATAGGTATGGGTCTTTAAAGGTACAATACACAATTACTAAAATCTCAAGGAAGGCCTGCCAATTAATCTTCATTTAAGTATCTAACTTGGAGAGAACAAATAACGACCTTTGTCAATCTATGAAATTTTCCGACTTAGAATACCGTTGTTTTCGGGAAAAAAGACAACTTTTGTTCTGTTTTTATCCATCGTTGGCCAATCATCATTGAGAACGTTTGGACACACAACATCCCTTTCTAAGCCACACAAACAAGGCCTACTTTTTGTCAGCATAACGCAAGTGCACTCATATCTATCGGTTAGATCCAACAGCCGTTATCTGAGCCTCTACTAGGATTCCAATCATCTACACCAACTTAAAAGTGTTGTGGTCGCCCATATGAAATCATATTGCGGCACAGGTACATTTCTCAAAGTTAACTGTTAGGCTTGCCACTGGCCGTTGAAAACTGTTCATTTTTGTTCTACAGATTCACCCATGTACCTTTTGACATGGATATGGTATGGTCGATGGGTTTTGTGTAAGACAAAATTGCGCGATGTTCGCTTTGACCGTTGAAAAGGATCAATGGTTTTTTTTCTCTTTTTTTTCTCAGAAGAGTAAACTCCAAACATTACACAAGTCAATGGAATGATCCGTGCAATGTCTGACAAACCCCTAAATTGGCCAATTTGCCAAATTACACAAAGAAGACGATACAGTATTATACCTTTAGTACATTTAATGGCTAATTTAGAAAGTCCCAAAAATTATTTTATATTCATAAAATATCTCCGAAGGCTTACCCTTTCCTATCGGTCGAGAGCACGTAAGATGGACTTTTTAACATATCGTAACACTACCAACTGATTCCAAACACTCTTCCATTTTTCAAAAGAAACGTTGACTTGTACTTTTAGATACTTTGCATGTAACTTTCAATTATCTTGGTAAACGGTGGTGTGCATAACACAGCCACTGAGTTGGCAAGGAAATAGTGCAATTAAACTCTTACGTTGATTCATCTCAGTCTGTTCTTCGTCATACGTCGCATAGCAGACGCCGTGGGCGCTAATTTGCCAGTAATGTCCACAAGTTTTAAGTGTACACATAAACGCACCAGTGTACGGCGATAAGTTACTGCACTTAATTCATTTGATGTTGTCGTGTTAATTAATACACGTTGAACAAACCTGATCGTCAATTTGATGTCATGCCTCAGTCTGCCTTCTGTCAAAATGAGTATAAATAAAGGACAAACTGCATAGACGTATGATCAAAGTTACCTAAATATCTTTAAAGTAGCAGTCACCAGTGGGTAAATTTAGATTACCGTTTATATTTAGTATTGGCCACTCACGCACTTTGAATTTTGGCATATCTGAGTACGACACAGTACACTACACTAGCAGAATATGATGAAAAGTTGAGTAATATCACGTTTGAATTACGCTAGTTTATGCAGTGAGTTAATCTTTCGTTCTGGAATATGCTGCCGTGGAGATCTACAATCACAGCTACATACAGTGAAATTATTATAGACGCACATGTTACAAAAATTCCTCGAACCTTTGTTAAATCACGGACCATTTACCCAGGGATGTGCCACTTAAGCTCAGAGCTGGTTCACTGCGTGTTACGGCTGGCGCAATATCAAAGCAGAAATTAAATCGGATTATGTAACACTTTGTCTATTAATAATAAAACATATATCTCTGTCTACCACTTTGTTTTCTTGTAATTTTTAAGTCAGGGTACACCCTTTCTAAAAATATGCTGCTCAACATATTTCATCCTAGACATTCTGAGAAAAGTGTACCACAAAATTGGGGAATTTTGCCTCATTAAAACTTCGTTTCTCCTTGAAATCGATAAATGAAAAATATTTATTCGTCAAAACAAACAGATCTCGGCATTTTCGGCATAACCACGGCTGCACTGTTCGTGCTGCATGCTGCAACCCGTGTCAAGTGGTCGCGGGTTTTTTCGAGAAAGTCGAGAGCGCCTACGGGGGTAATAGCAATCCGTAACACGCATGAAACCAAGGTCGCACATGTGTTTGCACTGGGGCTGCTCGTGGTTGCACATCCCTGGATAAATGGTCCGTGGTTAAATTTGACATTTGAAATATGATTTAAACTTATGCGACCTTAGGTCTTTTGTCTGAGCATCTAGAAATGAAAGGATGTGCTCATTGCGGTAAATATCATTTACAGTGCTGTATTTGCCCTAAATACTATTCCTGAATTATTTTACATCTGAATTTTTACCTTTAAATGTCATCAAGCACTCGTATTTTCATTGTATCTGAACTTTTTTTATGAAAGTGGTATTCTCAAATGAAAACTCTATGTCAAGGTAATAGTCGACAGGTCGTCCGAGATCGTTACCGACTTTCCAAGACCTAAAGCCACAGGTCAAGAAACAAGCGGTCTGACACCAAAGGCCATGACTAACTGTTATAAATGGAGATCCATCAGGAATGAATATAAGACCAGATGGTTCCTGGCCAAGAGAAAGACCGACTCTCCAAAACGACATGGATTGTCAGGGATCGATTGTCTGAGACCAAAACAAGACTGACAGTCTGAGGCCGTTAAGCAAAGACCAAGCCGTCCTGTCCAAGCATGACGACCATACCCAAGGCCTCAACACCACAAAAGCCATAGACCAACCGTATGATCAGGCCTACACCAAAGTTTGTCAGGAATTTTGTTGTACTTTAGTTTAGTAAAAAAAATGTATTCTTTGTGTTCCTAAGAGATTTGTCTGTGTTTAAGAGGAAGCAGGGGTGTTATTCTAAATATTTAGCCCAACAAGTAGTAATTCTTTTCCTCAGGGAAATTGCCAATTGGAGTTTGGTGTTAAATAGAACAAAATAGGTTACATATGAGAATTTAACAATCATAAGCATGTCAGGTTATATAATGTAAGTATAATTGTAAATCACATGTTAATCTTCTATTACTTCGTGGTGTTGTGACTTTGTGACATACCCGCACTAGCACACATAATGCATGCACTTCCGCTCTCGCTAAACACTGGTGTGCCTCCGGAGTAGTTGTAGCCGAAATAAAACAGACAATCAAAAATGCCCAAATTATCTTTCATTGGTATTGTTTGAATGCACGAAAGCGGGGCTGGGTGTAAGCGTATTTAATGCGCAAATTATCGCTCTGCGCATGTTCCGTCTGTCCTGGCTTTGGGGCCGGCTCGCCTTGTAAATACAAGCAATACAGGCATGTTTATCAACTCCGACCTCCGTATGTACAGTATGTTATAGACTGTATGTTTAAAACCTACGTTAAACATGACAATGTGATTTAAAATATGTACAGTTCCTCGGCTCAGGTTTACTAATTCGTGTACATCAATGTTTTTTAACAAAAGTCAAATAGACGGGGTAGGATTTTATACTTTAGTAGTGAGGTTGGCCCCTTCTCATTCAACTAGCTTCCCTATCACTGGCTGCCGAAAAGATATACAGTTTCTGACATAGCAGAAGTTGACATTAAATTGGTACAGGGCCCCACCTGGTGGACTCTGAGGACAATGAAAAACAGGAGCGTAAATAATAACCTTATTAAGCACTTTACATTTGTGACTTGTCAAATGCGTTGCTTCCTTCCCCATGGCGTACCTAGGGAGGCAGAATGGATTTTCCTTTCTAAAAATATCGGTCCATTCTTATAATCTGTATGACTCTTGCAGGACCAACCACTGTCAGCTGTATGTTGTTTTCAAACCCCTAAGACCTTCTAATGGCATCTAAATTGACTTAAAATTGATTTGATGGTGTCCCTGGGTGCCTACCAAAGCCTACAAATAAAAAATAAACTGCAGGGAAAAAGTTAATTATCTTTTAACCCCATAAAGATTTTTTTAACCTTTCTTTTTTCTAGAGTGGAGGATAATACCCAACCCCCGCCTCCCCAGTCCCTCCTAAATTCGCCCCCCTCAAGAATAGAAAGCAGAATGTGGTGGTCTTCGAAACGCTTTTGAAAGGTGTTACGGACGCAGCAACAACAGACCAGCGCACGGCAGAAGATTGAAATAAAACGTCATGAAAATTTGTTCGGCAGTCAACAAAATGGAACACAGGGGTAGCATGCAAACAATTACATTTATATTAAAAAACAATCAACCCCAACACCTTGTTAATTAAAAGCAAAGCGTGCAAAGCAAAAGATAAATGGCCAAACTTAAGTTACACGCAAAAAAGAATAAAGTTCACATACCGGTTTCTAAATAAGAATGCCTTGGTGCCCTACTGACAGGGAAATAAGGGAAGGGGAGTGCGGAGTCACCCGCCGACCCGCCAAGATGTGTCAAAACCCGGATAAAGAAACACCTCTCAAGGTAGCGGTAGCACAGACATCCAACCCGCCTCCCCCCCGTCAGCCCACTCACTGGCAGTCGATTCCTCTAGTACGACTTCGCAGACCGACGGCTATATCCAGCAAGAAATGGGATTGAGGGACCCCCCCCAACATGTCCAATCCCTATACACATTCCAGACTATTGTTACCTAACACCCCCCCCCATGTCTGAAAGGAATTCCCCAGATTCCTGCGAGACAATGACCAAAACAAAGCAGTCGGGGTTCTCTCCGTCTCATACCTTGCTGCATATGCCGACGGTGGAAACTCTACTCAGCATCCGAACCCTACCCAAGCCAGTTGATAACCCCAGGCCGACACGAACAACGCCCTTATTATAACATAACTTCAACATACCACAAATCAACGAAGCAGTTAACAATTAATCAAAACACAAAGGTAAGTATGTGGGTAAGATTCTGGCACATTACAATACAAAGGGCCTTACATTCTGAAAATTCCATCCGTAACAAAGGTCAAGGAATAATACTATACCATTAGGTCGTCTGTGGCCCTCAGCAAACAACAAGTTGGATTACTAACTCAGAAGAAACATCTTCTCTGAGCCAAATTGCGACTCGGATAGAAAGTTATGTTTCTTCGTGAATGATATTAATCTAGCGTATACATGTCCTAACTAGTCCAAGCCTTTGCGAACAGACAATACTGAGGTAGATCCAAAATTACCAATGTCTTGTTTATTAGCTCCCTAAGGGAGAAATACCACGGACCTACCGAAGGTGTAAGTTACCGATTAACCAAGCAAGGATATTACCTTGCCTGTTTAATGACAAACGAGCTTAGTTATCAATTTCAGAAGCCCTGTTTCGTTGGGTATTTTGTACAGGGAATCTACAGTTTCCTCTTGCGTAACTGGAGTCAAGAGAAAAGTGTGGACACCTATCGGCAAGGAAAGAGTCACGTGTAGTATTACAATTTGAAGCTTATATTAAAGTTGGGTGTCAATAATTACAAAAGCTATCGGATGCACCAGGATTGTCCTTGTCATCACCCACTGTCGCACTGTCCTCTTTGACGACAAAAATGAAGTAGGATTTTTTTCTTTCCCTTTAAGTTTATTATAAAGAAAATTGATTAAATCCCACGTTCCTTTTACCTCACTCCATCCCTGGTCAAATTTCTTGTAAACGTACAGAGCATTTCCAAGCCGATCGTTATTAGAGCTTTTTGTGTCTAATAACGTTAAAGAAACGCCCGTGGAATGTATTGCCAGTGTTTCATTTTTCGCATCGTGGAATGTGTTTTTGAGTTTGTTCCGTCAGAATCAAATGACTACCTGTACTGTGTGAAATATTTCACCTTTTAACCTTAAGCTATTGCCGGGAAGATTTGACCGTCATTTGACAAAGTTTTGACAGTTTATTTTTTGACGAACATTATTCAATAACAGCCTTGAGTGTTCAGCGTATCCGTATATTATCCTCAGACGTCCGCAGATGTCATCCACACTTTATCTTCAGAATCTTCAAGAGGTTGTCGAGAGATGGTACCCAAACAAATGTAATCCACTCACACCATGAAGTACAGACGGTTTTTTTTTTGTCGACATGTAATTGACAGCCACGCATGACGTTCCCACGACGTTACATAAATGAATGCGCGCTTTCTATACAGGAGGTAAGTAGCTGTTAAACTACTTGCTGGACATTGCAATGGTGTATAATTCACGTTTGGTATATCCAGCACAGAGATGTCTTTTATTAAATGTTTAATCCCACATGTGAGACTAATAGTGTGGTGCTACTGGATGTTCTATGAAAAGGAAAGGTGAAAGTTGTGAAGGGGACAGGGCTTTGTGTTTCTTTTAAATTTTAATCATAAATTGCATGGAAATCGTAAATATTATTATTCAGCTTACGTGACAGCGGGCAGCCTCAAAACTTGAGTTAGTCTTTGAAATCCAGATTCAGACCCTCCCCGAGATTGCCATCACTTAGCGGCATCACTGGGCAAACCTCTTGCCTCAAGTCAAGACAGACGGCTAAATCGAAGTCTACGCGCAATATTATATACTACTTGAAAAGAACGATCACGTGATTCTATAAGTCATCACTGGCCGCAACTGTTTCCTTCATTTACTTATTTTTGGGATTTATGTTTTCATTTATTTTGTTCCATAGTTTCGATAGAAAAAGTAACATTTATGATGGAGATGACGCCGTTTAGACCAAGAAGATGGTGGACATAATTTAACGTGAAGTTACAGTCGAAATTGAAGCTGACACCTTTGTGGTAGCCGCTAGTTGGCGAGTAACTCGTGGGTAACTTTGGATTTCTTTAAAAAGGAAACCCCGAGAATTATCCAGGAACTAAAAGAAATTGACTTCCCTTTCTGATGCTGATAAACGTTTGTTGTGGAAGGAAATCAGACTCAGTAGCGTAAATTTGTGTCACATGTCTGTGGATGAGGAATTTTGAGGGGATAACTTGCCCGGCCATGGAAATATGAAAAGTAGGGGTGGGCTGCTGTAATATATATTCCATTCCTGCAGAATGTTACATCACAATGATGTAAGTATGACTATTTTGGTTGTTCTCCCTTTTTGAGAACTATTGAATACAGTTTGGTTCTCGGAAAGGCCGAAAAAATTCGTCATATCCGCCTTATTTTTTTCTCACCACGAAACAAAGGGCAGGGGTGATTCAACAACACATCCCCTGGTCAAAAAGTGTGAGAAGAGGGTATGTACCTCACCAAGCATCCCCGAATTTACACCTATACTCACCAATCACATTACAGAGCGCGTTGGGCATTTCCTTTGAAAAAAATAACAATGTCCAACCTTTTCAGGTGAGCTAGCCTTTGATCAAGGTGCCCACGGCAAAATGGATCGTTTCTCAAGAGCGAGTAGCTGGAGGAGACTAGTTTAAGCACCAAACCAACGCACGAAGAAAGACAACACGACAAACCGCACGCACGCCCGCACGCCTTTGAAGTCCCGTTTCGGTAGCAGATACGATATACGCATATGAATAAGTCTCCACCAATCAAAACGATCGCCTCTGTCGTGCAATTACATCATGCATGTATGAATTATTCAGCGTTACAAGGACGCGCGTATTCAACATGGCGTCTTTTTCAGCAGTGGTGTCAGCTCTAGACGACGATGCAGCACCGAAGCTTGGGATTCCGATCAACAAATTGAAATTGTAGGTAATGTTGGCCGTGAAGGCTGTTCTGGAGGGTTGAGACGTATTTGTCAAAATGAGCAATGGCAAAAGTTTCATAGGCACTATACCAGACCGCCGCACCGTTGCGCAAAGACTTCATGGACGTAAGTTGCCTAGGGGTGCACCACTACAAATAGATTCCCATAGACTGCAATGATAAATCCCCACACTTTGCAATAATGTAAAAAATACTCACAACTCTCACAGGTGTCCAGGCTGCACAGAAATACGATGGTCGACATGTCCTCTTTCATTTTCCTTTCAATTTTCGGGGAGTTGACCTATGAATTTTTGAGAAATTTTCACCAGAAGCAGACCACCCCTAAAATGAAGAAAATGTCCCTGCCCAGAAAAGTAGCCATTTTGAAAAACCATCTCTCTGCAAAACGGCCAAATAGTGCCATTTTCGGACTCAATTGCATCCAAGTTACTCAGAATTTGAAGCCTAGAGTCTGGGCCAGGGGTTCAGTGCCATATTTCTCCAATTCCTCAATTTCATGGCTCTCAGGACTCTCTAATAGAGAATATTTTGAGTGTATAACTTTTATTAATGAGCTCGGCGGACATATTTAGGGCCTTTTTGCGAGGGTGCAATCCTAGATATGCTAGGCCTACTTAGTCCCCCAAAACACGTTTGGTTCAGAGAAATGTGAATAATTCATAAACATTAGCATATTGAATAATTCAGATAAACCACTGGAAACAAAGTTCCAAAGGCGTTTGCTGCGGCGCACAAAGTCCACGACACACACTGCTCGGGTACTGCGTGCTCATTCATGGTTTATTTCGGGCGTGCGTGCGGTTCGTCGTGTAGTCTTCCTTTGTTCGTTGGTTTAGTGATAAAACTAGTCTCCTCCAGCTAATCGCTCTTGAGCGTCGACCCATTTCGCTGCGGGCGCCCTGATCAAAGGCTACATGAGAGCGTGATACATGAGCTTTCGCCGCCCGTAGCCATAATTATTTCCTTGACAACATTTTTGAGGCGCATTGTTTCCACCTGCGCCCTGGAGAAGGACGGTGGGTGATAAGCGAATTCACTAGGACGCTTGTGGTAAAACTAAAAGAGAGGTTGGGCTGTTCATGATGCATAGACTCGGGGTTTTGGGGGGTAGGGCGGAAGCGCAATATTTGGAAGACGAACACTTTGCTCTTTCAGAACCCATTAATATGCTTCATCTTTTTTTATTAAATTTGTTTGAGATCACGAGGTGAGAATATGTTTTGTAATTAAATTGTCCACTATAAACGCAGAGGGAAAACCTCTATCAAAAAGAGCCAGTTTCTCATAACTCTACTCCAAGGAGTGAAAAACAACCTAAAATAACGAAAAATTACTCCAAACCAGTGGAAATTGCTCAAAAAAGAAGCCAAATAAGGGCAACTCTTTATCAAGTTATCCTTTATATAGGTCCTCAGCATATTGGAAGTTGTAGACTTCTGGGGGGTGGCTTTCACTCTTTTAGAGTGGTTTGAATTACTCTTGAATTACTTTTAAAGATTATTATTTGACTCCATTACCTGTAGAGAGCAGAGCTTTAGATTGTTTACTTCATCAACGGTACAGTTGATGCAGTAAACAGTATCAACTGCAAACAATTTCAACCCTCGAAGAAAAATCATGGGAAAACAAACCTTGGGTCTCAGTTTTGGCTGATTTTAAACAAAGACACATTTTAACTGGCAATTTAGACAGGATCGTTCTCTTAGTCTTCGACCTCAAACGCTACCGTACTCATGTGTCCATGCGGAGTCTAATACCTCCCACCAACGCCCATTGCACCTTTTTCGTACTGTAGTTAATGAACCTTTAGCTGCTGGTAAAGAGGGTCATTGCTGTATCTCTGGCACTGTGTGCAACCCTCGCTGTCCCAGTTTCCCAGAGCCAGAGCGGCACAAAGCAAGACAATTTAATAACTGCGATTAATGTTTCTTGATGGGGTGTGCAGTCATTGTGTTTATGTTTATTTTCACAAGCAAAAGTTACAGTGTTAGCTTTATAATATTAAAGAACATGACATGAATTCGATATGACCTTTAAAAAGTACTTAATCAGCTGCTATCACTTTCGCTACAATACGAGAATTGCCATACACAGTAAAAGTTTCTTGTATCAGGTCTGTATCGAGTTCCTTTTAAGGGGGAGAAGGCGTGACACGGGACAGAGTGCTAAATGGTAGAACGGGCTTTGATCTCTCTTATCCAACCTTTGAACAAGGAATGCTGCAAAGTGTACCAGACAAGATTAGCACGGCTCAGTAATCGCATTGGACTCTTGGCTGAAGAAGATGGCACTTCTCAGATCATTGAATGTACTGAATGCATTACACAATTGCTTCGAGAAAAAACTGATAACTCCCCCTAAATTAAACAAAAAACTATATATTATCCATGGCCATGACACTTATATACCCCTTTTCAACTTAAAGTTTCTTTTACGTATATTTTACTTCAGGAATGGAATACATGACTTTGCAAAGTAGGATATATTCTCCACGCGCTTCACCACATGTCCCAATCATTAGTGTGCTGGGCATAAGATGTAACATTTGTAACAAAATGGGTAAAACAAAATAAACATACAAAATACAACACTCGATTGGTTTTTAATATTTTGAACGAGAGAACCCCAGAATATGCATGAATTGGTTGTTCTAATCCACGACACTAATATGTCCAAGGAGATGGTCCGTAATGCATCCATTATTTCGTTCGTACTTTTCAGACCACGTGACTCACGCAGAGGTTAAGGCGCCTTTCCATATGTTTGTTGGGGGGTGCTTTGCATACACGATGTGTTCGCGTGTTTCACTTTCATTGACACAAAAATCGACTCCATTAACAAAATATAATTGTGCGTTGCGTTCGACCGTCAAACAATCTCTCCTGCGTTGATGGATACACAACACTTGGCGCAAGTGTGGACGTGCATATGGAAAGGCGCTTTCAGTCAGTATGAATTGTCTCCTGGGCGCTTTAAACCATTCCATAAGTTGGAACTGTGACACTTGGGTTCCTTTAGATGTAAGTGAACCAGCAATGACAAGAAGCAACACCCAAATTAATAACGTAACATGGATTCAGATTTGTGGTGTCACTTCATCCCAAACACACGCCCCAGGAGTAGGAAATTTTTGAATGAAATTCCATAAGTTTACCCAAGTAAGATTTTGCATTTGGTAGCTAAGCAACAACAGGCTGTCATTAGGTCAGGTCTATCAATATGTTTTTCTCTCTTGCAAGTAGTCAATGTTGTGCCCCGCAGTATTTGCTTTATTACAGTTCGTCAAGTTTTGCTAGTATAATACCTTTATCTTCTCACTTTATTCAACTGACTCCAAACAGTCTATAAATATATTTGGAAATGGAGGCCTATTTTTTGTCACGACTTTGTAGTGAACGTTGGAGGCGCTACGAATCACAGATTGTTGACATTAGTCGGTGGCACAAAGCCATGTCGACGAGTGTGGTAGGATGAGGAACTACCATAATCCTGAAACCGCCTGGTGGTGGAAATTCCAAGCAGAAAGCGGGTGGTGTCAAGACTTGCCCCAAGCGTTGCCGACATCAATGTCGCTCCCGGAGCGATTGTAACCGTCGAACGTAACGCACACGCGTGTTACGTTAAAGAAGTCGATTTTTGTGTCCATCAAAGTGAAACGCACGAACGCATCGTGTACGCAACGCACCCCAAAACGTTTTGGAAAGGCGCCTTTAGCTTGAGGTGAGCATGCACATCATGTGTAACGTGCTTCATATAGTGCGCTGATCTTACATCAAAAAGTGCATTACAGGGTTGTGTATTCTATGCTGTCTCCATTTCTTGGAGCTTTACGCATACATAATTTTGCGGTTCAAAAAATCGAAAATAACGTGAAAACTTTTATGCTTGTTTAATTCCATTCCAAACTACTGTGACGTGGTGGATAGTCAATGGTCAAGAGTCAAAAGAGGTGTGTGTGCAGAGGATATGTTCTGCGCATTCCCCACGGTTTGCAATTGGTATTCCTAACATGAAAAAATACAGTTCCTGTTACATCCGTGGTTTGGGTTGATTTCTCTTTGGTTTTTCAAAGGATGAGACTGCTGGCCACACCGAGTTTCTAAGTAAAACATCGTAAAGATAACACACTTTTATGGGCAGGCTCTTTGAAATTAATTTAAGTTGCATTCATGCAGAATATCCAGAATTGGGTCACTCATCACAAACAAACAAAATGTTTTGTTTTCTTCTACTTTTACTTCATTGAATTCATTTTCAATTTCTGCACATTATCCAGAGTTAACCTTCACAAATATATCTTACCGGTTGACAAATTCCCGCCAGGGAGGAACAGCTGAACGTCTGGAATCGGAATTGCACCATTGGCAAACAAACAAACAAACAAACAAACAAAAAATTGGAATTTACAACTTCCATTTACAAATTTGGAATAATTAATTGTCAACTTTTAAAGCTTTGTCATTCGGAAGATTTTGTTCAGAGCCGTTTATAAAATTCACTTTGAACACATGTCGATTTCGGGAAAAAATAACACTAAAACATATTGCAGTCCTAATTTAACTTAAGAGAGTTAATCATTTCACCAGCACTCCTATTGCATCAGATTTTGTGATAAATTTTCACCGAGTACGTATCTGCTACAGCTAGCTGGTGCCCGTCAGCAGTGAAGGTGATACCCTGAGGATTGTGCAGTCCTTGGGCGACGCACACCACGAAGGCACCATGTGCGTCATACTGGTGCACGTGTCCCTGGTCCCGCTCCCCACTCGTCACTGCCACATAGATACACGTTGTGTCGCAGCACACGCCCGTACACTGATACACGGGCTGGCCGTCTATCAACGGCCGGATGATGAACAGCAGTGTCTCATTTCTGCTGTCGACGACATGTACTTCCTTTTGGAACCCACCGCTGATGACAAGCCTTTCGCGGAAGGCACTACCCGAGCCAACAGCTACGAAATAAGGCTTAATTTTCAAGTATACAATGCGCTTCAGCGAACCATCGTTGCGGTTGTGCTCCGTCAGGACGTTTTTACTGACGTCCCCAACTACCACGGTGCCGTCTTTCCTGATCGCCACGCTTCGGAAGTCACATTTCCTCTTGCCGGCCACAGAGGCCACCATGTTATCCTTGGTGTACAATTGTACGTGGCTGGTGTCGTCGACAACTGCTAACTGCGTACGAAGGGCTGCAATGTCACGAGGAACTGAAGGGAGAAGATAAGGGTAACAGTCGTGAGTATCTGGAAAAAAGTTTCAATTTGCGTCAAGAGGAATATGCCACGTTCTTAAGCTAATTTTCTCAGGCTAAATGTACTGACTTTTTCTTTCAAGATTCAAGGGGTTTTTCTTCCAGTGCAAATAATTGTCGTATTTGTGTGAAGAAGCTATGTACGGTTTCCTGAAGTAGCACTTAAATTTTCCTCACATGCAGAAAGGCCTTGAAGTCGATTGGTAATAGGTAGGAAATGAGACTAGTAATAACAAAAATACTAGAAGTAAACAAATGGCCGACATGTGTTTAAATATAATTAAGACACAACACACAGAACATACGAAACTTTCTCATCACCGACCGAGTGCATAACTGAATCTAGAGGCCAGTTTGATTTGTGCGGATCCGGACTCGCTGCCCAACGACCCGACGATGGTTCACTGACACTAGACCTCGCCTCGTGGATAGAGTAAACCAGCTGTTTGGGATCACTGATTGAGATCCAAGTCCATGTGAAACAAGAAAACCCTTGGTAGTACTCTGCTCTGTGAAAGAATAGCCATACAGTGAACTCCTTACCTCCCTGGATTGGAATGGTCCTCAAAGCGTTGCCCTCGGTGCTGAACGCAACCAGCCGTTTGTTGATGAAGTCCGCCACTTCGATCTCACCTGGCCAGCGAGCGGCGATACCCTTCGCCCACCCGAACTCCCCTGGTCCGCTACCCTTGCTGCCGAACTGGTGATACTTGATCCACGTCCCTCCGAGCTCCAGTCGTCCTAGACCCATGTTGCCGACCCCTGGACTTTCTTTGAAGCTCAGGTAAGACAGTTTGGGGTCGCTTTGAGGGCAGTGCTGATCGTTCATCATATCGACGACCTTGCTTATCATAAGATATTGCGAAAGAAATGTGGGGTGGTGAGATAATTTCGTAATGTCGCTAGCCGTCTCCAGTGCATGTTGCTTTACGCGGAGCAGCACTGTCGCTCGCTTCTCCTGTTCGTGGAACGTCTTCCCCCGATTAACCTCCAGCTTCTTGACCTCCTCAATGAGCCGCTTCTCCTCGGCTTGGACCTCTGCAATCACTCTCGAAGCTTTCTCCCGGACTTTCTTCACAGTCCTGGACACCTTCTTTTCAAAGTCATCCCTTACCCGTGATGCATCTGCTAAGAATTCTCTAATTTCCTCGATCTGTCCTCCCAGGACAGGTACTTTATTTGCCAGCAGCGGCCTATATTTTTCAGAGGCCGCTTCGCAGGTGATGCAGTGATGTTTTGGTTTGCCGTGGTCGTCTTCTGAACACCGCTCACAGATCAACTCGTCGCACGTCATGCACATGAGCGTGTATGTTTCTCCAGCGTGCTTAAGACAGTTGTTAGTTTCACCTGATGTTGACAGGCTCATGTTGACATCGTGAACCTCATCACCTCGGACATCATTCACCATCATATCAATCTCTGGAAAGAAAAGAAATCACTTTTTCTCTTCAATACGCGTCAGGCTGGATGCCCTAGCTTGGCCTGGACACAGGTTAAAAAAAAGGTTGAATAACAAAGACAATTTTAAATACGACCAAGAATGCTGCGTTAGCCGGCGTGGGATATTTTTGCAGTCTGTATTGACAGGACCCATGCCCGTGGGCGTAAATTCCGGGGGAAAAGTGTATACCCCCAACACTTCTCAAGGTGGGTGGATGGGCTATGGAATCATCCCCCATCCCCGCTTTATAGTGATGAGAAAAAAATGTCGCACTATGAAGTGTTTTTAAAACTTTCAATGACTAAAAGATGTTTCGTATCACTCAAAAAAATGGAGAACCATTAGAAAAAACCATAAATATGCCCTCCGGAAAAAATGTAGGCCTACGTCAGCATCATGAACATCGATCTCTGTATGGTGTCAACCCTCCCCTCCTCGCTTTTCAGATTTTTACGGGCGGGCAACTCGTCCCCAACCCCCATTCTCCCTCAATTCCCAGCACAGATTTGCGCCACTGCCCGTGCCATTTTAAGCCTACTTATCTTTGCTGATTTCGAAGCGTCGGTGACAGGACGAAGAATTTACAACACAGACATAATTTGGAACATTTTCTTTACAGGACTGTTCATCATCTAACACCATCACCTTTGTAGATTTTGGGGGGAGGGGATATGGTTGGATTAGGCTAAGCTCATGCAGCATCAAGGGCAGACCCGGATGGAAAGGGGCAACGAGGGCCACGCCCCCAAATTAAAAAGCCATTTTTCCGTATTTTTCAGTGTCGTTTCTTCCAAAAGAAAAAAGCTCCAGCATGAAGCTTCAAACTCCGGAAAGCCAAAAGATTACATGAACTAATTTCAAAATTTTGGCCTCCCAAAACTTAATGCTCCCCTCCGAAAATGTGGTTTTCGATCTACACTTTGCAACATGGTATTTTTCCCAAAATCCTTTCCTTAATAGATCTCAAACGTGATGACGTAACACAGTGTTTTCAGTGGTGCATTGTGGGTTTAAGATGGGGACGACAGTACGCGCGCTATTGCTAGAAAATTATGCGCATGGAAAATTGTCAAAAAGATCCGAGACTGAGAAAGCCTATATTTTTCAATATGGTTCGTGTTAACTGTTGTATGCTATTGTGTGTATCAAGAACACGATGAACGCCAGAGCTGCATTGTTTTTGTTTTGTTTTTTGTTTTTGTTTTTTTTTCAAGCTTCCAGGAGACCGCAAGTTTGCTATGTCTAAAGTCGCACGAAGGCTCGCATGACTGACGATCGTGTCCGCCATCTTTGATTTCTATCCCCACATTTCACCCACAATGCAAAGCCGGTAAACACTGCGCTACCTCATTATATTTTTGGTCTATTACAATGTGGAACCACATGTAGGAGATCGTGACCTCCGGAAGACAGGCTTTCAAGGTTTTTAACGTTTTACCTTCCTGCAATGATGCACAAGCCCCGTGTTCCTCGCAAGGGCCTTCTTGCGGCTGATGGGAGATAATAGGATGGAATTCATTGGGTAAATTGGAGACAGTTGTGTTTTCCTTGTTGACCATGTCGGTGATACGACGATCCAGCCCTTCCACAGCCTGTGGTTGACTTCCAGCTCGAGAAATAGGGGAACCTGCAATGTGGCGGTTTAAATCAGATGCTGTGAAAACCTGTGTGTGATGTTCGTGTATGTTGGAAAATCTTATTATTCCATGCAGTGACGTTGCTTTGCTTTTTGTCTGCCTGTTTTGCTTATGTTTTGTGTTGTAAACATTTTTGATGGTTCATTTTAAATGGCATAAAAGAGAAGCAGTTAGCCCAGTGTTTGTTATCTATCAATCTGTTAATATTTACAAAGTTGATCGTGCCAGATATAATGATGTTTATACCTCGGAGTTGCTGGGCGAGGTCTGTTCTTTTAATCTTTTTCAAAGCGGCACACAGCACGGCCACTTGATCCACATCAGAGGTCAGCTTCTGTCGCCACCTGACCAGCATGTTGAAGATTTGGTTCTCCGTTTGGCCGGGAAAATCCATCTTAAGTACCGAAATCTCCACAGCTTTCAGCCCGAGGAACGACGCCAGGGACTGCCACTCGAAGCTGAGCTCCTGAGACAACTCCCGTAATTTTGGATCTTGTAAACCTGGAGGGAAGAAGGGCAAAAAGATACACTGCTTGATTGAATGTGGATGTAGACATTTTGATGCAAGTGTAAGTCAAGCTGAAAAAGCTGGTTTTTAAGTCTCACTGCACCAGAACCAGAGGACACCAGTTCATGCTCTTAAAAATGCAAATCAACGAGGGGCTGAATAGAAGAAAGTTGTGGATGTGTGGAACTGTCTGTCAGAGCAGGTAGTGAATGCAAAACAAACGAACTACTTAAAGGGAAAGGGGTATGAAGCACAACAAGACTTACACCTTAAATCTTCACCCATTGATCCCAATGTAAGTTCTAATGTTTTGATAAATTGGCTAATGGTTTAAGCCAGCATGCGCTAAAAACTGTATTCCTTCCACAGCAGCATGCATCAAAAGCCCCACCAGTTTGATAAATCTGTCTTTATACTGCTGTACGTCTGTACCAACACCCACATTCACCACTTAACAAGAAATGAACTCAGGCACGTCACTGCCGACTCTGCCCGGGTAATGACCTGAAGTATGTCGAACAAAGTCAATAAGACAAGTCTGAAATTTATTGTTAGCAACAAACAGTCATGTTCTGTGGGATTAGATAAGATAAGATGTGATTCAGCTTTGACAGCAAAGACGTTTATGTGCAATCAGATAACACAGTGTACAAAATTTTATTCAAATTTAACTCGCAAGTGGTTTATTAGCGTATTTGAGGTATCGCGGAGACAGTAGGAGGGCGCTATTTGGTTTGAGAAAAATCTTTTATATGTTTGTTGAAAATTTACCCACTTTTATTGAGTCAATCATTCTGTAATAAAAGCTAATGGCGGCAGACACCGTGACAGTTGCCGGTTGTTGTACGGGGTAGGCGTGGTGTTGGGCGGGGGGGGCTAAGGGTCTGTGCCCCCTCTCCCCCCTCAAAAACACTTTTGTCTAGCCCCCAATACCCCCAAATTAAAAATAAATAGAACTAATAGAGCAGTAGCAAAAGCTAACAGGTGACGTCACGTGCGAAGGGTATACCCCCCCCAAAAAAAAAACCAATATTGGCTCTCCTGGGCCTCTGTTTGGTGATACTCGCTCGGTACAAAGTCCCTAACAATACTAGTTCACAATTATTGAGGGCAGTCAAGAATGTCAAGTGGAACAACACTACATTTGTCGTTCGAGCTGCGCCGTGTTACGTTGCATTGTGATGTGCTAAAGAACCCGGAAAGAAATCAGGGTGTCACAAAATGAAATTCTTGGGACGGCTACACTGTAATATTTTGGCCCTGGCCAGGCAAGGATCGAACCCGGGTCAAATTAATGAGGGGCAAGCCCAGCCACAATTTTTTCTAAGGATTTCTGGTACGCCATGGAGGTTTGCAACCCTTGCCGAATTTTCGTGATGGTTATTTAGTGTTTACGGATAAAAGATCTGATATTAAGGTCTCTTCTTGTCCATTGATTTGAAAAAAAACAAATTGCAGACATTGTCCTCGTTACTTTAAAGGGCGCTTTAGTGTGCAACTGTGTGAGCTACAACATGGTTTAAAACGTAATTCACCTTCCATATTCATCAGTCCTCGGCTTGTTTCTGCAACGGTTCCGTCGTGGTGCTATGAACTACATGCATGGACTTCTTACCTAGATGTATAAAATAAAAACAGGCGCATCTTCGGTTTTCATCCATTTGTAAAGTGATTTGAGCTAAAAATAAACGTAATCACAGGTAGACATAAATTGCAATTAAAGTAATTCAAAAGGAATCTATCACTAAATAAGAAATCTCCGAAAGTTTGAAACGTTGCAAATACCCAAATTTGGCTAGTGCCCGTTTTATACCTGAAACGCGAGGCAAGTTTTATTTTTCAATAAAATACAATCGTGGTTTTAAAAACTAGAATGTGACAAGCAGGGATGGGAAGACTATTCTAGATTCTTTTCAGTCCGGCAAAACGACAGAAAAGCAAGACAAGACTACAAAAGGGGATGAAGGGCACAGATCCCACGGAAGGGGGTATATATCCCACACCCACTTTTTTGAGGTCGGAGAATTGGGATTGGGAAGAACATTTTGAATTTCACAACGACTTAAAGCATTCTATATCACTCAAAAAAGGAACGCAATTTTATAAACCCATAAATATGATATACGATTCGACATGGATGTAATAAAATTCCAGATGTACATCAATAGAATGAACATCGACCTTTATATGAACTCCTTTGGTGTCACGCCCTCCACCTTACCAAGCTTTTCAAATGTTCATGGCCGGGCGAGTCATCCCCTCCACCTTTTCCCATTCCCATCTAACAATTTCCAGCACAGATCTACGCCACTGGACAAGACCACGGTCAGATTTGTTTCTAAACCAGCAATTTCGATGTTTCCAGAAAAATGAGAACATGCCAGGGTGATTCCAGAAGTTCCACCCTAGTTACTCCATAGTTACGACTGTTGTTTTCGGGTGGCATGCGTCCCGTTAATGCACACCTCAATTGAAACTTCAATATGAACTGATGGATACGTTGGGAAAGGCTTATTCAGGAACGCAAATGTTTGATCCCTTGACAGTCTTCTTGGCCAGAATTGTAAAGGTTAAATACGTTTCATATGAGGGGACGGTATAAACAAAAACAGCAAAATCCACGTTAGGCCTACCGTGAAGCCCTGCTAATATTGTTCGTATTTACCCTCTTAATGACAAATCAAACGCACAAGTCCTCTAGAGTTAGGGGCTTAGCTCTGGTCATGTTCACTCGGTCATAAAAAAATAGCAGAGTTCATTTATTCGGTTTTATGCTAAATAAAACAGAAGATATAATGGCCTACCTATTAGCTGCCCTTTCGTAGTTCAAAATATTTGTCAAGAAAGCTCCAATGACACAGGAAAACAGATGCAACTCCCTGACCGTTAAATACAAGCCAAGGCGCCCGTCCACCACGGCACATATACAACAAAATATGGCTACCTTCAGTTTCCGGGTGATATATCACTGTTACAAGGTCTTCAACTCTTCACCACCGCCCGTTATGTTAGGCTCTGTCGTATGCACTACAGGAAACCAGATTTTTTCCCTAGTTTTCTTTCACTTTAAAGCTTAAAGCTTCCGTGTTTAGTCGTGTACTTTGAACACCCAACAGAAGGCTACCTGATTTTTTTTTTCACAGTACAGGAGACAATGACAAGCATACGCTCACACGAACTTGTAACAGTTTCGCTACGAAAGGGCGTTATAATGTTCTGTGCAGTTGATGGAAGAGGGCCTTGTTTACCCCTGGACAAGTGAATGGGGCTGAGGATAAATAGATTAGGTGAATATTAGACTTTTCCCCTTTACTTTAAGAGTGCTCTTGCTTTCGAATACTTTTATTCCCCCGTAGAACGTTCATATTGAGCATATTTTGCGGCTGTTTCATTTATAAAATAATTGAGGGATAGCTCCCAGTCCAACCAAAATGATAGTCCTGTACAAAACTCGAACCACTTTTTTTGTTTGTTTTATTAATTCATTTCCATAGACTTACGGCGGCAGCTAATTTGAAACTAATTGCTTTACAATAATTGTTGCATAAAAAGTCAATTTATAGCTTTAAAATAATGTTCCTCTAAAAGAATGTAACACATAGTTCGAACACTTTGTCTAGTCTTGATCAGGTAGGCCTAAACCCCCTTAATTGAAATGGTTTGGGCTTGGATATGTGATAATGCAAACCTGTTAAAGACGTATAGGGCCAATTTTATTACAGTCTTATTTTTCCAACATAGCAATTACCGCTACAGGGGACTTATATAATTCAAGCAGCTCATTCAATGTTTTCTTTAATGTCGTGTAGTTGTCATTTTCTCTCTTGGAGGGAGAGAAAAGTCTGTGTTTTGTAATCTTATTCTTATTTTCGAACTTCTTTGTTATACTTAGATATTTTCAGCAAAACATCACTTTTGATATTTACTTGCTAATCAATTTGAAGTGTCATTTCGCTGAATAAATGTCGAATAATGTGCATATAAAAACACACAGTTCTTTGTCATGCTAAACATAAGACAATACAAAGTTTTTATAGCAATGACATGCCCAAAATCCCACTGAAGTACAGTTGCGAAGGTTAAAGTCAGTATTTTGTTCTTTGCAGCAAGCATTCTAATTGCATTCTAATTCAACAGTTGCTTACAATTAAACATTAACATACGTGGCAATTTGCTTTTGTTCATACGTCCTGTACCGAAGCTGACCTATTAGTACTGGCCAATCTCATGTTCAATGAATTCCTATTAGAAGAGATAGTACCGAACTTTATACGTGTACGATCAGATGCTTAACTTCCAGCTGCATGGGCCTCGTTTAATTACTAATTTATTATTCATTAATTTTTATCACTTATTGGTAATAATAGGTATGCAGTTCTGGGAGCGTGTGTTACCTAGAGCAGACTAACTGAACATCGCGGGTTCACAAACGACTAGGCATTGCAGCAACAAGGTTTGAAAGAAAAAAAACATTTGATTTGGGGCCTCACGTTGATACTGGGTAACGTATAAAATCACAAACATCAATGTTGTATGTACTTTAAAATAGTCTGTAAAATCCCCGAAGATCCGTTCATAATTTTTACACATGTGCACAAGTGTTTCTTATTCGAAACTGTGAAAACAAAACACTCAGATAACCTCATAAAAATCGTTTTAGGCGAATCAATAAGACTCAAATTATTTTGGAGTAACTTATAAAAAATTCATTGCATTTAGTACAGGAACGTCAATTTTTTGGTTTGCTTTTGTAATTCAGTTGTCTATGGTGGAAATCTTCATGTTATTGTCAGATAAACGATAGCTTCTCACAGTATGGCTACTGTAATGTCTCAGCTTTGCCAAACAGCCACTTTTTATTAACAACAGGGCAGTACTTTTTCTAGATGTGTTCCAACTGAAATATCTTGACCGATGTCCAATCGGCAACGGCCAACTGTTGCTTGCCAGGACAAACCTTGATGTTCATTGGGTAGTGGAGGTCATGAGCGATACAGGCGCGGAACTTGCCCGTGGAGTCGTAGTGGTGGATATGGCCGGTGTCGCCGCCGTTGTGCATGGCCAAGAAGATCCCTGAGCTATCGCAGCACACGCCAGTGCAGTACTCCACGCGGTCGTTGGCCACACGCGGCCGAATGGAGAGCAGGGTGGCACCTGCGTCGTCCACTACGTCCAAAACGCGTTTGTCTGCGCCGCTGACTAGCAACCTACCCGTTGCGTTATCAATGGCTAGGTAGTGAGGTGGCGTGTCTACAGGGATGGTTCGTATCAGCGAGCCATCTGCAGGCCGGTGTTCAGTCACGACCCTCCTCTGGATGTCCCCCACCACGATAGTGCCGTCTCTCTTGACCACAACGCTGGCCAGATTCACTCGGGTCTTTCCCACCTCGGCAGCAGGCACGGTGGCGAAGTCAAAGGCCAGCGTCTTGTCGGTATTGAAGACCTTGACGTAGTTCGTGGTGTCGGTGACTATCAGCTGGTGGTTGAAGGTAGCAACGTCAAACGGGTCTGATTATTGCCCAAAGGGAGAGAAATAAAAAAGTGAATAAGTTCTTAGGAAAAACATGCTATCTGCAAATGATATTAATGAATGTATCTTGACTTGGAAAACACACTGTAAGCCATGGCGAGAGCGGGGGCTGAATATTCTGAGACAGTTGCTATGCGACTAGTTAAAACCGAATTATTCCATTTTCCTTCCAACACCGTCCTCCACCGGGACATTGTACTTGTGAAGCATTTTGCTAGAATTTGTCTCTTTTTCCTCTTTGTAGCAGAGCAAATTTCAAAGATGTGAACCGCTGCTTGAAAATTTCGCACTGATTGAATTAATTCCCTGCCATTCTGCATAAGAGGAGCGGTTCCATTGTTCTTCAAGGGGTTTTTCACAAACCACCAGCATTCACTTCACTGGAAAGAGTGAGGTGATTTTAACTGTTTCTATCATTTCTGCACTGTGCCTGAAGAGTTTAGTCCTAAAAGAGCCAGGTTATTTTGGCCATCTCACAGCCGTGGGGGGTCAAATTTGCCCCTCCCCCAGACCTCGGCTGTGCCTCTCTCGAATTTTTTTTAACTTGGCATGCATGTACCAGACACTCCTTATCATTATAAATGTGAAGTGCTGAACGTAATCGAACGTATTGTTTTGTTGATAGAGCCATTTGAAGTTCAAGGCTACATGCGTACCACCCATCGTGCATTGAACACCCTATGATAGTGAAAAAGTATATATTTTTGGCTGACCCGTCTTGGGAAATGAGCAAAGAGTTGGCAACGAGTTACTCTTAAAGTCCTAAGGGCTTAACTACTGAACAAAATGCACTGAGGCAATATCAGGAAAAATGTTGAGGGGGCGGTTCCACCCCTGGCCCTTTTTGGGTTTAAGCTAATCCTACTCACAGTCTTCCGTTGGAATTGTTTTCTTCAGCGTCCCGTCAGTGCTGCAGATGACCACACGCTTGTTCCACTGGTCAGCCACTGCAATCTCCCCGATAGGCAGAGCAGCAATCCCACGGGCACAGCTGAAGTCCCCCTCCCCGTTACCCTCTTTCCCGAACTGCCGGCAGACCTCCCACTTGCCTTCCATCACAAGGTTGCCCAGGTTGATGCGGCCGTCAATCTCGTTGCTGCTGGCGAACTTTAGGAAGCCGAGCCGTGCGTCAATCTTGGGCGGCCTCTGGGTTCCGAGCGCCTGCAGGTCCTTGCTGATGGTGGAGTGAAGTGAGATGAAGTCAGTCTTGGTGGCAGTGCTGGTAAGATTCCGAGCCGTCGTGAGCGAGTGTTGTATTCGTTCTTTCTTCCCGTTCATTTTGCTTGTGAACTCCTGGAACTTTGCTGATCGGTCTTTCTTGATCTTCTGGATATCCTCTATCATCCGCTTTTCCTCTGCAGCCACCATATCTTTCATCTCTGCCGCCCTCTGGCGGATATCTTTGACAGCCTCGTCGCAGGACGTGCTTAATCCAGCGTTCAACTCCAGAGCGTTTTCCAGAGACTCTTCCATCATCATCACCGCATAGTGCAGTGCCGGGAAGAGTTCCCCAAGCGACTGTTTCCGATCAAGGAAGGCAGTGTTGATGTCCACGTATTTGTGGTACCGGGCTTCGCTGTGATCGACCAGAGTGCAGTCGTGGCAGATCAGCTCCTGACAGGTCTCGCAGAGGAGGGTCAACGTTTCCCCGTAGTGCCGGCGGCATTTGGGCGCGATCTCCACGCGGGCCTTGCTGACTTCCACCACCCCGTGCTTGATCTCGTCCAGGGTGGCGATCGTGTGGCTAGATAGGGCGGCGAAGCGAGTGTGAGCCCTTTCACAGCCGGCGCAGAGGTAGAGCGCGCAGTCCAGGCAGCGGGAAACAGCCGAGTTGTGGCTGTCTTCGCAGGACCCGCAAGACAGCTTGGCGTCCCCGCAATTGGCTACCTGCTCCTGCATGACGATCTCGTCAATGAGACCGATCAGGTAGACATTGGTCTTCAGACCGTCCACGCCGGCAGGGAGGTCCGTCTCCTGCCGACAGACGGGGCAGAGGACCCGTGGCACTTCGTGGGCCTTGCTGGTGGGTTTCACCCGGGAAGAGTTGGATGCCTTGTGTTTCTTGATGCACTCTGCGCAGAAACTATGCAAGCAGTCCAGAAGCTTAGGGTTGTTGAATCGTCCACAACAGAGGGCACACTCCAGCTTTTTTCTTTTACCATTGTCCATACTCTGTCCTAGAATCTGCATGGGAAATCCATGAATACCCTTCAAATTTGTGTTTAATTAATTTTGACCCTCTGAATTCACTAACTGTGTTCAGTAGAAATACTAACACCAGATCTCATGCTCTCTGACCTTCCCAAAATTTATTTTTTAGTTCTCCCAAAATATATGCGAGGATTTGTGTTTCCTTTACTTAATTAACAAGATTTAAGGCCAGGTGTATTTTTCAGGGATAGTTGGTTATTACACAAGAAATGAATATTAGGCCCAGTAAAGACATGCAGACGATAAACATGTGCTTAAAATGCGATGGAGACAGATAGAAAATTTTATCATAGACATTGGAACAAGAGAGATGACACCATATTTTATCAGATGCAAAAAAATAAAGTCAATTTCAGCTTCGTACAGCTAATTCAGAACATGTCCAGCAAAGCAAACCCTATCAAACACCAACAGAATATCTCTGCGTTATCAATGGAATGCAGTTACTAATCTAGCACAAATCTCAGTCCTTCGTGTTTGTGAGTAAATAAAATAATCAGGATGGCAGTACGAACAAGGGAAAGCTTCAATTTGCTAACCGTTGCTCAAAAGGAAACCCTTTGAGATAATGACGCCTTGCCATTCACACACAACGCAGCCACAAGTCAAATGACAAACATTCTATGTATCTTATGTTACATCACTGTTTTACAGTGTCAGGCCCTTACCTTACACCGTCTCCGCTGAATGATGACTTCTGATTATTCTCACTTTATGTCAAACCATTGGCAAGGTGAGAGCTTTTATACCGATATGCCAGGACGTGATATGAATTTGCCTCTTGTTTTATCCAAACTGAAACTTTGTGAGCAAAGCATAGGCTGTGGGGATGGAAAAACGGAAGGCAGAAATGACTCGTCTGGACTGGTCCTAAAATGGGTAGGCATGCACAATAAGAGACATTGACCTAGAGGATTGTTTTTGCCGGTCACTTTGACTATGTATAGAATACACGAGCCGTTGGCACTGGAGATCAAAACTTGGCATCGAGTGGGAAGGCTTATAGCGAGCGCTTTTTGCGAAGCCAATATCCCCAGAATATCCGAGTTGTATGGAGTTTCATCAGATGTGAAAACACTCCTTTAGTTTTGAATATGTGTATGTTCCTCTTTGCAAGCGTAAATTGATTGGGGACTGTATACTCCGCGCTTGTGTGCAAAATCACCAGAACAGCTCTAATGAAATATTTCCATGGTGCGTTTAAATCTCCTGGGAAGAATCATTCAAGAATATCATTTTGAACATTTGGAAATTTGGTTCACAATAAAATAGTTCATTGTAATGACTCTACTTTTTAAATTAAAATGGAATTGTCTTCATAGTGCGTGTCTGTTATAGGCGTGTCACACGTTGCTTAGATTGAAAATGTTTTTAGGGTCACGTGGGCTAGTGATCTTTACTCATGGTTACGGCTTGTAGCCTCTGATTAGAGGGTCGGGGGCTCGAATCCAGCTGGCGGCATTATGTTGTGATTTTGGTTAAGTCACTTTACCCCCCAAGCCTTTCTCCATCCAGGAGTAAATGGGTACCTGTGACAGCAGAGATCATGGTTTTTATGTTTAGACGTTTGCGCCTGATGAGGCAGCATTGGGCTGCTATGCTCTCCTGAGAGATGAGATGGTTGCAGGAATGCTAAGTGAGCCCAATGTGCTCAGCGTGTTTGAATTGTAGAGACTGTAAGATACTGTGCGCTTCATAAATGCTATGACATATATTCTCCGAGGACAAAAACGTCTTGTGGTACCACTGATGTGCCCATGAAATGGGGTGGGGTGGATTTTTAATCAATTCCTATAAGATTGTTTTGGTTATAAAATCTTATTTAAATAATCGAATCAATCACAATTTCATATCAAAAAGAGAGATCATACCGAAAACCACGATAATGGTTTAACTTTCTCAGAGAAATCGATGAAATCATTTCCTCGTGTAGGGCACCGCAGCAGGTGGTTTGCGATCAGCAGCGGGTGATGAATGGTGACTTAAATCGGAAGGACCAGTATGCCGGTTGACTAATAAACAAGAATAGACCGTCTGCCATATGACGGAAATGATGAGGCCGAAGCATTACAAACAGGAATTAATAGGAAACACTGAAGGCCAGCAAGGTTGGTGAATTTGGCGGGGAGTGCGAAAAGGGTACACTGTGTGGTCTAAATTACCCCTTATGGTTAATACACATGTATTCATGGGTTGCAACTTCCATGCACAGTAGGCTGTGTCCAGGTTAAAATTTTCAAATTGGGGGAAAGGGAAGCTAGCATCAAGGTATCACAAACATGTACGCCCGGACGAGAAAAAATATTAAGGCCTGTCAAAACAACGAGCTACACGGACATATAAGTAACGTCCTGCACGTTTCACGTACAAAAAAGCTGTAAAATAGTGTTTATTGCAACAATCGCATTTACACACACAATATCTAGTCCAAGTGGAGAAACATTATTGCAAGCAAAGGATACTGCTTCCTGTTTTGTATTCTTTAACCCCCACAATCACACAAAGACGTTCCCTACACTCTCGATAAAGATACACAATTAAATCGTAGCTGAACGTGATTCACGTTTTGCAAAGCACGGAACAAATCATCATTTTGCACTTTCTAGGCTATTTTCTTTGCAAAAATGGGTCTAATTTTAGTCGCCGCTTACCGAGCTGAGGACTTATATTCTGAGTGCTTTCATACAACGTTTTCCGTTTACAATGCCTTTTATTTTTGATGATCCATTACGCACCTTTATACAGCAGGGTACCGCATGAAGCGCTCTGGTCTTACGTTGGTTTGATTAGAAATGAATCACACCATGTCTAATGTATTGCATGTATAATTTCAGCTATTACACTAATTGTAGAGCTGTAGACTCGGACATTAAAGGTATATACTCATTGGTAAAATCCCCTAACTTGTACGGACTACCGCATAATCGTGAAATATCTTACTTGAAAGAAAGTACGTAACAACCTCAATCAGCCTGTAAAATATTTCCACCCAAAATGCTTTAGTTTTCGAGAAAACAGAAAATTTTGTTCTCTTTTTACGACGCGTTGGCCGACCATCGTATAAGAGCTCATTTCACTTCGCACACCGCTCTCTTTAACAGGCGCCAATTTTCTTGGTTCAGTGTTTGCAGATGTTGTGGGAGTCTCCATTAGTGAACGGGTAAACCCAAAAGCAGCTTAAAAATGGACAGAAATTCGCCAAAAGCGTTCTTAACTGAAATTATAGGAAGCTGAGTGTAAGTCGTAAAGTGAAAAATAAATTGGATCAGTGTAAAGTTAAATTTTATTCAAAGAAAGTATTTTCTCAGCGCGAAAACTGTGCGAATTCAAAATCACCCCTAGAGCATATAAATATAATGGTATGATCCAAATATGGTGGCTGTTCCGAGCAGAATGGTAAAAGGGATGTTTTTCAACAAAAAGTATGATTTCCACACGTTAAACCTCCCACGTTTCAAAACATAATTTCTCTTTGGCTTATACTTATTAGTGAATTAACTATAAGAATGGAGTTTTAGACTTTCATCGACGTGTAAACCGACGTGAAAGTGCGATCATTACGCACGATCGCGCGCGCACGTGCATTATCATATAGGCCTGCTCGTTCACGGACGGACATGAGTCGACTACGTTCCTCGATGAGGTTTTTTTCATGAATCCGCAATGCTACATTGTCGAAGAGTTAGAACTGCTCCTTAGTCACTCTGACCCCACGGATGTTGTTCGCTTATACTACAAGCGCCCTGTAATCCATAGAGTCTACGCCAGATAAATTACAGGACCTTCGATTTAAGCTTTGAAAATGCAGCGCTATTTTTCTCGATTTTTCTTAAAGCAGTTGACTCAAACATGAAACAAGTCAGTGGAATGTACGTTGCAGTGAATATTGCCCACCGTAATCAGCCAATCTTGTGAAATTGGGACAAAACCTACGGTGTTCACTACCTTTAAAGGTGCATTTAAAAGTCATGCAAATTGGAATCAATTACTCCCTAACAGTCCAACTAGGGCCTGCTTATTAAGCTTTGAAAGGGGTATTTTAATTATCGCTCAGTCTTAATTTTATTTTTTTGCTATTTTGATGTCTGCGACTGAGTGTGGACGATTCACAGTTTTGAGCGTCGCCAAGGCGATTGCGTCTAATAAGCAACATCCCAACCCCCCCCCAAAAAGGGCAAATAGAGCTCAGCATTTCGTCCATGTTAAATTCATCGCGTGACAAGATCTTTCAAATCAATCAATCACATGTAGTGGCAACAGTACGTGCCCACCCGTTGTAAAACTTGAATTGGTAACCCTGTCCCCGAATGAGACGGTATTACTTTTTAACAAATAAATGTCATTTGCTCCAAACAGGACTTCTCTGTTGTGCACGGTCTAAATTACTTCCTGCAGAAGTATTAAGTGCCTGTTCTTCCCATATGTCCAAATTGGCCTAGTGCTGAGACAGGGACCAATACTATAGTTATTTATCATGCTCTTAAATTCGTATACAACAGATGCCTCCTAATCCATCGTCAAAAAATAAGTGCCATCGTAGAGATTGCACTTCGCTCAAGCTTTCACCCTGGTCAGGATCCTTCAGAGGCACAGCGGTCATTCCGTGAGGCCCTGGTCCCAACAGAGGATGGACGCCGCGCATGTTCCCAGACATGTCAAACCAGTACATCATCTCCGTCTCTAAGGGATGGCGTTCCTTTGAAACGGTTGTCGTGACGATGAAGCCGACGCTTTGGCTGATAAAGCAGAGTTCGGTTGGTATTCCCGCTAAGATGACATCAGCGGTGACTGTCAGCGTCGTGGGAAGAGGACAACAGTTACTGCAGCTGAGAGCTTTTGATTCAGTTGAAATTTCTAGAATTACGACACGATTAATAAGACCAAGGAAAGCCCTCGTGGAATGTCTCTTTTCATCTCTGTTTGAATATTGAGCAAGGCCATCTGTCAAGCCACTCGAGGTCAGTATTTGCAAAAATCGAGAATCCCCTTCAACCACTAATGCATCACTGTGAGTCTTTTCATCTGTGTTGGTACCCAAGGGAACAGGAAAATGATTGACTCGACTTACAATCAGAGGCAGAAGGTTGATAGACTCCAAGGCAACTACTCCCGCCGGCACAGCGACCAAGATGACACTGCCTGCTACTTGCAAGCTTTCAACTTGAGGGAGTCTAACAGTCCTAGTCGTTCTTGTTCTCACGTTGTATGAGATAACCCCAGTCCTTGAGTAGTTGAATCCAAGTAGATTCCATCCACAGCACGTAAAAAAGTTTACACATCCATGTGGCCCGGATGTCTTTCTACCATTGCTGACCTCTTTCATTAAGATGCCGCCGAGTTCGTCAAAGACAATTAGAGTTTTTGCCTCACCGGAACAATCATTCCTGGTTGAAATTACGCTTTCGTAGACAAAGAAGACCTTCTTATTCGTGCCAACAGATTTCCAGTCTACGAATTGATCAGGCAATTTCCATGACTTGTCGGGAGAAGAGGTGAAATGTACCACTGGGTTCCTGAAAGTATTCGCTGTGTCACAATCAGCAAATACCAGTGTGTTGTCCTCCTGAGAATTGTAGGGGCTGATTGCACATAGTAAACTTAGAATTGCGGTGTTTTCCCCGACAAATAGAACGTTCGAAACTCGGATAGTTTGCGGTGGAGGGAGAAAATCTTTGAGTGACTCGAGGTTTTCACGCTGGAGAGCTAATTTTAGTTTGCTTACTTGGGATCCCTGGCGGTTATCAGCGATGTCTTGTGCAAGGAAAACGCCAATTTGACACTTGTGCTTGACAAGAATTTGCAGAAGGATTTTGGCTTCGTTCATTCTTCTGTAATCACTGCTGCATTCTGAATTATTGCCCAGATCCCGAAGGACAGCATCTCGTTTTGCCTGGACAATCACTGACCTTAGATCTATTTTTAAATTCTTCAAGCTACTGGTGCATATCAGTACTGCTTCGTGATGAGAAATTGCAGGAAATCTGACTGAGAATTCCCAATCGTCTTGCTTACTTATGTGTCTATTGTAGTCCACAATATTGTTGGAAACCAGTAAGCTGAACACGTCCCCGGTTCTTCTGTTTGTCAGCAAGTGGATAGGAGTTGGTAAGTAGGTATCGATGCGGAAGCCACACGGGTACGATGAGTCTAGAAAACCTGAGCAAGGAACATGGAATGCAGCTCTAGAAGCATCAAATAACACCGATCTTAAACCAGGCTGAATACCTTCCTGCTTTGAGTGGAAGTTATCCCACTTCAGCAAATCCAACTGCCTTCCGTGGTCTGATGCGCATGGTCTGCCGGTATGTGGATTTAGCAGAAAGTTTGACATCGGCGGGAGGTTTCCCATGATGCATCCCGTCAAGAAGCCATCACGTGTGATGCAAAAATGTGGCATAACTCCACAGACATCCCCAACGCAACGTTTAGATGTTTGATTCCCCAGTATGCAGGTCGTATGGCCCAGATTCCGCCGCCATAACAGCGGCATACACATGAAAGCTCGGCCATTTCTATCTTTTGTAGCAGTTGATTTGCTAGCCAACCATTCTGAAACTTTCCACCAAGGATAATGCTGATTACTTCCAGGACCAGATTTTACAACACTCCCCGGCACCTCAGTACCTCTTGTCTGGCTGAAGTATGCGCTGTAGTTGACGTAAGCTTCAAATGCCTCATCATTCTTGCCCAGAAAGGCCCAAACAGCTGACAAGTAAAAATAAGCACTCGGATCTTTAAGAGAGATGTCATGAAGTTTGGCTGCCATCTCTTTCAGCCACAGCTTGTCCGCATCCACTTTTGTTACATTTTCTTGAGAGCTGAAGCTAACATGACAGTGCAGCAGTGAAACTATAGCCGCCTGGGTGAGTTCGGGCGGGCAATCGGGCTCACACAACACCGAATACCATAGGGACTGGGCCCGTACAGCATAATGCTGGTTCATCATCCCCTGGTCGTAGGCAGCCGCACAGAGTGCAAGAGATTGTAGTCTGCTACTGTTGATGCTCAAGGGCGAGCCGTCTTGGGCAAACTCCATAGCATCTCGGTAAAACTGGCCGGCTAATTCGGGCTGGTCAGCGTGCGTCATCATCCGACCGAGCTCGTTCAAATACAGCCCAATCTGGAGACCGGTTTCAGGAAAGTTTGCACTTGATGCCACCATGTCATCGATTTGGTGATTAAGAAGTTGTAGCAGTAACTGCTTCGCCCTCTCAATGTGGCCTCTTGACCACCAGACATATACCAGTGCTGCGTCAAAGCAGTGCTGCGCCAACTTAGGCGCCCACTTTGACAGCAGGCACCTCACGCTGTCCACGTTCGCCGCCATTGCTGCAGAGTGGTCGCAAAGAGCGCTTACAGTTTCAGTTACGACTGGTTCGGACATTGTCGTCGGTAGCAACATGTCTATGGTGTGAGCTACAACAGCGATGCACCAGTCACTCGCATCGTAGCCGTCGACAGGTTCCGGCAGTGCCAACATATCTGGACCATAAGGCAAGTCTGGATTCTGACGCCAACCCATAAGCGAATCACGGTGGCGGGTGTGCCGACGAAACAGTAAATGCCCTTCGCTGCACTGGCTGCTAGACAGTGGCCTGATATGATCTTTCACTGCGCGCTCTGCCTCCTCGATAGCTTTCATTAGCCAACTAAATCGGAGTTGCTGCAGCCACTGTTGATTGCGGAGTGCCCTCATTAGAGGCTGCAGGCCTGGTGGAAAGGGTGCCCACAATTTCATATACTCCCCACTGCAGGCTATTTTTGGTAAACACAGTTCGACAAGTGTTGGTAACGGCCGGAGCACGTTATAATTTGTCGCAGCCTCGGGTTCTGGATACGTATTTAGTGTTCCTTGGCCGGTATCGTTTGAACAAGAGGAAACCACAGCCCGCCGAAGACAAAACAAATCTGAACAAAGGCCCCTCTGTTCACATTTTTGGTCAGTGGCGTCTTCTGTATCAATGACAACTCTAAGATCTAACATCAGCAAAGCCACTGTTGCCTGTATTCTCTCCAACACCGATGTTGTCGCAACAGGAGCCGTCGTCATCTCGCTCGTACCTGTTCTTCACAACGTGTTCAACTGGGGTATAGTCTATCGAAGTACCATCTATTGTAACTGTAGTTGGTGCTGTATATTTCCCAGCCAGTGTATATATTTTAGACATGAAAAATCCAACAATGTCAGCAGCCATATTGAAAGCTGATAATTACCTTGAATTAAAGATTGAAGTTCAAATATCCGATAATCAGTACACCATCACGAATGAATTTCCATGAGATGGATTCGTGTGGTTCTGTGTGTGTGTGTAGTTTATCACTCCGGAAATACGGGAGTGAAGGCATTCCAGGGCTTTATGTTGTCTGGGTGGAGGATTGTGAGTTACGGAAGAACTAAATTCTTGGAAAGGCTGGTAGGGAAACAGTCTTCCATCTATAGGTGATGCTCAGGTTGCACGTTGTTTCTGTGCGGTCAACACATTCGCAATACACCATCGGCTTGCATTCCAAGAGTGAGTGATATTCGGAGCCATGGCAACGCCTTCCATCATCGGCCACAGTACTACCACCATCAGTATCATTATACAGTTGATTCTTCTGCTTGCAAAGACATATCCAGAAAGCCCAGTGATGTGATTAGACATGCGGTGGATAAATGTAGCCTGGAATCTCATTGGTTGTTCTACCCCTGTAGCGAAGGGTACGTCATCTCAGAAATGACCTGCAAAAATCGAAGGGAAATCACAAAAATACCTGAACAATTAGCTACATTTCATTAGCCGTTTTTGTTTTAGTTTGTTTAAACTGTAAATGTATAATTTGAAATTAAATTTCATGAATTTTTCGTAAGTTATTAGTCGTTCAGTTTATTTCAAGATCATATTTTTGTCTTTTGGGGGCTTTTTTATTCACGATGAAGGAAAAATAGGAACAAAATTCAAGGTATATCGGCCCCTTTAGTTTTGGAAATTTAATCCCACGCTACGTATCGTTTAATTTTCTTTTACTATAATTATTGATATTATTATTTTTGAAGACAAGGAAATTTGCCGTTAACTTTTTTCGCAATTTCCCTAATCTAAAGACCACGTCTTCACCTTGATGTTAAACAAAAAAAATTACATTTATGTAACTTTTTACACTCGCCATATAAGAATATGACCAGTTTCCGCTGCCTAATGCCAGCCTGAGGGGCGGCACTTCCTCCTCAAGGTTTTGGGACGAGAAAAAGCACAACCAACAATTTAAAGATGTCATGGTAAACCACTGTGCGCTGTTGAATGTGATAATAATTTCTTAACCTGAAGTGTGGCAAATGGGATTTGACACACGATTTTCAAAACTTTTGTCAGTGCTCGGTGAAACATGATTGAAGGAAAGCCATCAAGGTATCGTTTGAAAGCAATTTGCTTCTACTTTATGACGAAAACGTGTAGTCATGCATTTCACAGCTTGGTTAAAATTAACTCTTTGTATCAGAATTGATTTGTTTGTTTGTTTATTAGTTAGTTGGGGTGTTTCTTGATGGATACATACTGCGTTTGCAAAGCTGATGCACACACGTGTTGGTCGATACAACTCTGCCCTGAATTGTAGAGTGGCAAACAAAGAAAATATTCAAGACAGTATTATTTCGTTGAATTCAGTGGTGTGTGTAAATCTGTGTCGAGGACGGGGGAGGACTGGAAAAAAAATCGTGGAATTTCGACAAGCAGGGATGGTACTGGACGCTACATGACACTACGGGGGTATCAGTCATGATACAGGACTACATCCTATGTAAAGTTATATTCTTGTAAGTAGCAAAACGGGCCGGCTGTTTTATGCTCTTTTATACGGCTATTGGATACAGTTTGGTTGTTGGGCCCTCACGAAAAAGAGGGGGGATGATCCTATAGCCCATATGCACATGGTCAAAAAATGAGGGATACACAACCCCTATCCCCCTGGCATATCCCCCTAGACTTAGAGAGTCTAGGAATGTGGAGAGTTTTAAGACCGGGCTGAAGACGCACGTTTTTAAACAAGAATTTTTAGTTTCTTAGTATTGATTTTAACTATGGTATATGTAGGTTTTATATATTTCTTATTTATTTATTCATGCATTTAATTGTGTATTTCTTTATTTATACTTAAACTGATGTATACAGTGCCTGGGAGCAGCTTGGTGGATTGGGGGCTTTATAAATGTCAATTATTATTGTTGTATATGCTCCTTGCTGAATTGATGAGCAAATCAAAATCTATTTTGATTTATATAACGGGNGAAAAAAGTCACAAGCTTACTTGGGTGGGACTCGAACCCACGACCTCCTGCTTACTAGTGCAGGCGTCTTATCCACTCGACCTCGGTGGTCATTTACTTACATAACAATGAACCACCAAATGTAAAGGAAATTTATGCCAGAAAAAAGTGGCGAACTTCAGCATATTTAGTCAATGCAACATGAAGGTTTTCTCGTGGTACTTCACGATTTGGCTGATGGATATGGAAATCTCGTATGTGAATTAATATGTGTTGTATAAATGTATTAGACCCTTTAATACGTACCTCTGCATTTACATTTTGGTGTGTTTTTGTGTGTGTTTTTGCTTTGATGGCAGCTCGATCATAATTGCAGTGCATGGTTTACAAGTTGTTGATTTACAAGCACATGCAATGGAATTCAGCCAACAACGCCTGCTCCCTCATCCCACCCGCCAATTTCCGTGCTTCCTGAGCACGAAAGTCTTCAGGTAAAGTATGCCGCTTTCACTGAATACACATTTGAAATTTTGTTCCTTTCTACTCCGTTTGAGTTAGCATGCCGCGACATGCTCATACGAGTTTGCACTCCTATGTGGCCATATGACATACACTTATAATACTAGCACGTGTATGCCCTTAACCCTCAGAGAAGCCCTTGGGATGTTAAAAAATTCCAACTTTCAAGTTTTGTCATTACCATTTTCATGTTTTATTCCTCCTCAGTTTATTAATGCTTCAAGACTGTAGAGTCCCTTTAACGTTGCTATAAACGGCTGGTGAGTATGGGGCCTTGACAGACAGGCACTTCACTATAGCCCATGCATTCCTATGGGAAAGCTTGGCCCTGGCCCGACCGTGTAAACGAGCTCGACTCGTTTCTCATTTGTGCCGCCCTGGCACTTAAAAACAATCCGATTGTTCTGCCGGAGTTTGTTGAAGGGCCATGATGGGAGGTAAATCATGTCCGGGGCTAGACTGGGGGAGGGGGCTAATGTGGCCAAAGTGGGGATCGGCTAAGTGTGGTCAAGTGGCTGCAATGTTCATGTGGGCCTAGTACCACCCCCCATCCGAAATATAACGTATAAAATGTCATGTAAGCGTTTCCCAGAACTCGAATAATTTATATAATGGGATTAAAGGTACTTTAATTAGGCCTCCCCCAAGGTGGGTGTTTAACTGAGTGGATATAGAATCCATCCATGTCGGTTATACCCGTTTTTCAAAAAAAAAAAAAAAAATTGCTCCAAGGGTTAATAGCTACAGACAGATGAATGCACTCCCAAAACTGTTAGTTATGGACTGTTTTCATGAGTCGGCAATGTCGGATGGAAGGTGAGGTAAACTTTGGGAGCCTGAGTGACAGTAAACATCTACGAACTAAACGTTTAGCACAGATCTATCCTATGTTTGATTAGAATAATTTCATTTGTGATAAAATTTCATCTAAATATTTCAAACCACATTTGAAAAAAAAGAAAAGAAAAGAAAGTGAGTCCTGGAACCAAAAGTAGTCAGGCACCATCACATTTAATAGATTACACTGAATAATTAATATAGCAAAGAAGATGAAATATGACTTCCCTGAGAGTAAGGTCAAACGCGACCAGAAATTGATGCCGTACAACAAGTTTTGCAACCTGAAACTAAGTTGAAGTCAGATGCAGAAAACCGCGCACCACTGTTCAATGTACCTTTATTTTGACGACTCATTTACTTATTTTCGAAACGCCTGCGGGCGGGAAAGTGGGGCCGATAAATAGGGCATTGAAGTGGATAAAAGATCGTGGATCCCAGACAAAACCACGCCTCAGCTGCACAAGCCTGTTTAACAAACAGTAATTTGTATTGCCATGTTATACGGCAATTACGTCCAGATAATGATTATTGGCGAAATGCGATTGTGCGTGAGCGACCTTGAGGCAGCTGCAAGCGCTCTACCAGCATAATTACCTATGAATGGCGGCTGATTATTCTAAGTGCAGACGCATTTTCATAATTCTACATTGTGTGTGTGTTTTATGATATGAATTTTTCCTAAAACGTCGTTAGTTTCTAGTCTCGTTGTTCAGCTGTTTCATTTTATTTTTGCTTTTGCTATTAGTCTCCACGCAATACTGCGACTCACCGTGCTCCCTGTATAGAGGTTTGATATCGACTGAAACAGCTCTTGTTCTGCCTCAAAATTAAGTCAGCTGGGACCCCCCAAAAAGGGACCTGACATTACAAAACCTTTTCGTTTTCTGGATTTTACAGGGTGCAAAAAGGCATGACCTGCGAGTTAGGACACGCGTAGAAACAAAGTTTATGTGCAGCATGATGCTTGTACTCGTACTCGGAAGTGCAAGTACTTAATTGTACTCGGAAACCAGTACTTGTACTCGGCTGGCAAAGTACTCGACCTGTCTTTGTACTTGGAATTCAAAGTACTCGGCAGTACTTGGTACTCGGAGAAAAGTATTTGACTACAACACTGGCAGCATCAGAATGCAAAGAGTGAAGAATAATAAATTTTGGAAAAAAAGTTCATGAAAATACGCAATACATGTAGTGTGTTACAGTTCAGGCAGAAACCTAACTGTTGAACATACATATGTATTAGCACAAGGCGTCAGACAGTCACTGGCGCATTATTTCATCTTCAGTGAAGGCTGATAAGCACCAACACAAATTTTAAAAGTCTTTTCAGTTGCTAAAAACAACCCCACTGTTTTAAATTTTCCGAATTTTCTTCAACTTTTACGATCATAGTAAACGCTATAGCGGTCACCATACAAGAACCCATCCCCATACTCGAGCTCAGCAGAACAACGTCCATTATAAGTGTCCTTTTGCATTGCACTCTAAAATCACAGTTAGGCCTACTATTAATGTTTCGATTGTTAAACATGGTACTAGAATATTGGACGGGTATTTGCCCATAATGACTGCTTTGATTAAAACTTATTATACTCACTTTTCCTTGATAACATCTCTGGAGAACAAAGGATGAGATATGCCGGTTGGGGTTCAGTTGATTCACGGTTCCAGCGCATTTTATAAAACAGCAACTGAACTCACTGCAAAGTGTGTATACATTAACACACAATATGCTTGGGTTATCGTCAGATACATACCACTGCCACGGACTTTGAGCCCAGTTGCTTATTCCATAATACAATACCGAGATCTGTCAAAAGAAAATCAACAGTGCACGAGAGCAATAAAGAACGCTATAGGCCTAAAACATGAACACTGAGCGTGCAAATGATACAGCCTGCAGGTATTGAGATGAAGGCGTATAGAACGGTACACAAAGGCTGAAGGACGAACAATTAGGATTGACGATATGTCGAGGTGCGAGCTCAGTGAACAATAGAATGCTGCTTCATACCACCACTAACGGATCGTTTATTTTTTTTATAATTCGACTTCATTTTTCTATTCAGTGCTTCCACCTGCACGTATGAATTTCACCACTCTTCACACTTTTTTCTTGTCCAATTTAGCTTTGACGGTGCCCTATCGTAAGGTCTCGGTCAGTGGATGTCATATATCGGTTGGGATTTGGGCTATATTCAATTACAAGACCGTAAAATCGTCATATCCCTCACGAAGGGGCAGCTTTAGATGCAGACATTTTGACATGACTATTGAAAATCATAAAATAAGATGTGACGAATTCTGAATTACGCAACGCGCCAGTACAATCAGTGAACAATATTCCTAATAACATAGGCCCTTTTCTGACATTCGGTTTTAAAGCATTTGCAGAGTATACGCACGCGTTCGTGTTGTTAATCACTTAGCCTAAATAAACGCTGTAAATTTTACTGACGGGGCGTTTAGGTTTTTAGCGTAGGCCTATCGGCTTTGTTTGGGCATCGTTTGAGAATACAGACGCAGATAAGCAGATAGCTTCAGTTTTGCTTTATGATTATGACCATTAGTTTATTGTATGAATTAGTACGCAGTGAAAAGGGCTCAGGCTTGCCGATTTTCGTGAATTAAACATTGAACCCATAAACCTTTAAATTATAAATTGTGTCAGCGTCGCTGATCTATAAAAAAGATGTGACCGAGGACACGTATAGGACCATAGGAAACTCACTCGTGCGGTGCTTAACCAGATGGTTTGGTCTTTATGCAAAATTCTACGTCAGAGATGAACGAAGCACCATGGGGTCCCTGACAAGTGACATCTTTGCATGGATATTAGATATCTTCGCTTGTTCCCCGCCGTGCATGAAATGGTTTATCCTGTTTCTTCTTTTCCGAGTTCAGAAATTACACTATGCGTGATGGGTAATATCGACATTCTCAGAAATGAAATAAAATAAATGAAGTTGTCCGAATTCAGTTTGGTAGCTAAAAGATAATTGTCCCGTTCCTCAGTTGGAAAGAAGAAATTTACTTCCCACTCCAAAAATGGTAAATAGCTGATTGAAACAGACTCGTCTTTTAAAAAAATGTGTAGCGTGAACCAACCTCCATGGTAACAGGTTGTTGACCCCATAATATAAGTTATGTAGCAATGGCTTTTACAAAACTAGCGAATAACAAACCTTTTTTTGCTCTATACACAGTAATATTGCTCCGTTTCTCGTTTCCTCTAAAACGTAGGCCTTCTTAGGCCAATTGTGCTTAAAATCTATAACCTACCACCTGACATAGCTGTGCGCAACCTGCTACATGTGCATGTACGTGTATCACCCTATAGTATGGCAGGCGATTTTGAATCGGTAATTGCCCCATGTGCATGCAGTATAGTATGTGCATGGACATATTCTTTGCACGTTTCTTTTTGTTTTGTTTGTTTATTGTTGTTGTTGTTGTTGTTATTGTTGTTGCTGTCGTTCGTGTTGTTTTAGTTGTTTTAATTTGTGTTGTTGTAATCCGTCTTTCTTGTGACTTTTTTTTAGCACCAGGATGATGTTTAATTTAACTGTTTTCATGTAGAAGGAGACACGTTCTGTATAAACTGAAGGCACCCTTCCAAACTAATCAACTTACTGTTGCTTAAATGTATTTCCTTACTTCAAATATGGTTAAGGAAAACAAAATCAATGGCTACAGGCCTACTGTGTATATGTCTATCAAAGCGAGTACAAACAAAATTCACTAATGTGCACTGTACGTAAGCAGCCACTTAAGTAACGTGGACTCTGTCCAAACTCAGTAAGTGGGCTCTCCGACAAGACCCACCAGCCAGTGTCGGAGGAAGAATAATAAATAATTATAATAAAATAAAACAACGAAATAAATAAATAAAATATGTACACCCAATCACCCCCCCCCGTATTCGTTTTCCATTGGAATTCAGGCTTCCTCGGATAAGGAAACTTCAATACATGCACCCGGACGATTTTATCCAAAAATACATTAAAGTCTATCCACGTGTACATGTACGTATACGTGCTGTACATGTACATACATGTACGTATACACCTGCAAGCTCAAAGTACAGTACACCTGTACATATGCATGCACTGTACATGTACTGTACATGTACATGTACATGTACACCCACACCCATGTGTGTACATGTACTGTACACACTACGGAGCTTTGACTTGCAGGCGTTGCTGCGCGGCTTGACAGCAGACTACTTGACGGAGCTTCTTTGATTTGCATATATGAATATTGAATTTCGGTCTACGCGCCATCGTTTAACGTGGGTACCATGGTCAATCTGATTGGCCACACTTCAAAGCAAATGTAGCCATAGATTTATATTTACGTCCCAAATCTCTTGACCACTCGAACCACAAACAAAAACTTTTAGCTTATGCACAGCATATTTGCTCAATAAAATCGATATCCATAGCTAAATGACACAAAAATTGCAAAATCTTGGCAGTCTATTTTGAATTGCTTGCTACGTTTAGACCAATTGAATTACTTGTTATAAAATTAGAGACTACGCAGAAAGTAAAATAGGCGCAAACATCTCTCGAGCAGAGGTACAAGGTAAGTTTGAATGTGCATTTATTTTCGACATAAAATAACCACTTGGCTGTTAGGTTTCTAAAACAGTGAACCAGTATTTACACGCTCCTTTCAATTTGTTAAGAAATTATACAATGAGGGGGACAGGTTTAGAGAATTTTTGGAAAAATATGCTGGAAATTTCGAAATACCCTTCCGCCGTTTTCAACACACCCGATTTTTTTATGCTTTGTTCTTCTGCCGGTAAATACACCCCATAAACAACGAAAATATCCCTTTTAAGCCTTGGTAAGTTACATTGTGATTGCCTTTAATTACCAGGCTTTGAGACTGTTTTGCTTCTGTTGAGTTATTACCACGTTTTGCAGGAGTATTTTTGCTACGAATCTTGGGCCATTGCGGTTGAGAGGGGAGGTCGCGTCCATTCAAAATGGCGACCGGTGAACGTTTTCTTCATGTCGGGGTCGAATTAATAATGACCATTTTCGCCATTCACGCGGCCGCGCTGTTTCAGATCACAACCCTTTGACACACCTTTATTTGTAGATTATTCACATATCCCAACTTGACCCAGCATTGGATCTCTAAGGGTGAATTTTGTCAATATTTTGCAGACTGCCGGGCCCCTCAGACCACAAATTGGCGAAGGGGTAAGTGGTGGTCCCTCTCTTTTTGTTACTGTGGGCACAATACACTTGGGCTGCCCCATGTCGTACGTTGATTGCACACGCTTTCTGCATCATGTGTATGTGCATGTGGGCCATGTCCACTGTACTGCGGGGTTCCGCTCGGGTCCAACAAGTGAATGGAGTTGCCCAAAGTGGGCCTAACCATTTTTTTAATTCAGCTCTGAGGCACAATTCGCGAAGGACGTAGGCCCACATGTGTTTACGTTACTCTATCTGATCCTGCTGCAATATCTTTCGAAAGTAAGCCTACCGGGCTGATGAACGAGATGCTTGGCAAAGGGTTTGTGTACATGTACATGTGCCAGCTCTCTGACATGACTGAATACGGTACCGTACATGTACATGTAGGCCTACATGGACACTGTTGTACATACCTCCATGATCATGCACACACATTGAGTATGTCCACCGGCTGATCGAGATCAAGTGGTCATGGTGGTTGAACCTGAAGACCCAAGATGTGTACCCCTAACGTCATGCACGTGCCTAAAGTTTAAGGCCTATGTATTACTTTTACAAGAATGACACAAACTTATCTACATGTGATCATGGTTTGATGTGCACATGTAGTGTACCTGTAACCCAGTTGTTCATAACATTGACATGTGTCGTGCGTATATCAATTTTGAACCAGTCACTGAAAATTTTACATTATAACAAACTTGTCGATGTGTGTACAAACCGATATCTCTTCACAGTCCGAGTTAGTTTTTATTTCATGGTCCTGGTATGCTTAGTTCAATTTACATGAAGTCCCAAACGTGTGCACAATACATTAAAGTGACTTCAAATTAAAAAAGACATGTACACGTTGTATTGAAATGATACATTTAATTTTACATTAGGAAGGCTGAGAGATCTCGCTAAAGTTTTGGAACAAAGCTTTTGCCTGTATATATGTGATAGCCATTACCATCCATTGGTTTGACAAATTTTGTGTCCACCGTGTTCGTAAACACTGATGTGACCCAAGCCATTGTAAAAAAATAAGTCTAGTATCGCTGTTGCATGTACAGAGTTCTTGGCGGAGTTAAATCAAGATGTGGATTGGCAAAAGTGGTTGTACACGGCAGTCATCTTTCTGGTATCTGCCTTTGTGACAGAGGGATAGCGCATCAGGTCTGCTCACTTGTATCTCTTTTGACAAAAAACTCTTACCATAAAAATCCCTTTTGTGAACAACCGCTATACATGTACACGTTTAAAAGCCCAAATTCTTCAGAAAGCAAATGAGTGATAAATATATCAAAATAAATAACTGCATTTGTGAAAGTAAATAGCGCCAGACATCAGTTTGTGGGATGTGATTACCAATAATGTATGGCACCTTGATTGCGTTCTCTGATAAGTGCGCATTACATATGTTAGTCAATATCATTACTATAACTCGTCACAGTTAGTCTGTATCACTGTTTCGATTTGTGTATTGTTAGCATACAATGGAACAAGATGGCCGACAGCCTGTTTGGCCACCGCACTATGTGGTGGATGGCGGAAATAACGTAGATGAGTACCAAGCGACCGGGCAAGATGACGCAATGCAGCACAATGGTGTCTCGAGTTCAGAGGGAGTGGGTGAGGTAGGTTCAATTGCTGTAGCTCAGAATTACATTCAGATCAGCCCACACAAGCGTTCCCTACACTGTAAACCAGTTAAAAATGTTTTCTGTACTGTAAACTAGTTAAAGACGTTCTCTACACTGTAATATAGTTAAAGAAATCTAGTGGTCGACTGAGATACTTTAAGGACTTGTTTTTTTCTGGTCCCGGTTTAAAATACCATACTCAATCCATAAAAACATTGTTCAATTTTAATAATGAGTGAAAGATTTCTGACAGACGGGATTTTCATGTATTATCTACCAGTTTTGTTTTTACATGGAGGGGGGGTTTGAAAGTTTCCACCTTTTCCACCCACCTACTTCAGCTCAAAGTGTGCCACTCATGGTGATTAAAAAGTTCTTGTTAAACTCCACAGGCAACAGAGCATCCCCGTTTACTTACAAATTTAAATCATCTCTCGAGGAACAAGACTTTAAGCAGCGTGTTGCAGGGGTGATTGCCCAATGAAAATGGCATGATGTGGCAACTAGATACAGGAGTCTGTCCTTCAGTACTTGCCTCTGAATAAATCTGGCACAACAACCAGCAATTTTCAAGCACATCCTTGATCAGTTTCTCAAAGTTTAAAACATCAATGAATAAAATGCAATGCCTGTATGAACAATCAGTGTGCATGTCACACAGACATGACAGATGGATCACACTAGAGTAAAATTAAGTTCATGTGGCCATAGGAAAGGACTTGTGATGGACTCAATTACAGCACTGTCATATAACTGTTCTCTGGGCTCTGGGAAATGTATTCTGTTACCAGCAAGGTGGTGTCATAACATCCCACAGTGCACTGCTTCCCTCAGCTGAAAGTGAATTCATTCCCATCAATGCTATTGTTTTGCAGAGACCACGTGCCTTCCGCCCTTACATGGCAGGCTATGAACCCGAACCCAGCGGGCAGGCCTTCAGCGACAATGAGCCCCAGTCCACAGTGAGGGAGAGCGACATTGCAGTGGTCAGTTATCAGGACCAAGCTTTGCCAGCCACCCCGGGTGAGGACCAGTTTTAGGCTCACGGTCTACATGTAGCTCTGATTTTGATAGTGACTTGGGGTTGCTATCCGCCCTGAGCGATATAAGGAGAGGGTGCAGTTTCCCAGCATCAGAGGCTCCTTTGCTTGAAATTGCACTTTACTGGTTAAAACACGACTATGCAATGCATGTGTTATGGTCGTATCGCTACCAACAAAACAAACACTCCCCACCAACGTGGCTCCTTTCAACCGATGAGTGGGTGCTTCTGCTATACTCATGGCAGATATTAATGGAGTTGGGTATTCAGATCAGATGCAGTGTATACTCTAAAAGTGGGGCATTTTAGGTCGTTTGAGAATGTCAAGGCCATTTTCCATTACTCAAATTTGTCTCCGTCTTAGGCTTCATTCCCAAAACCAATCCCCAATTGTGGACTGAAGCATTTATTTACATTGAATCACTGTAATTTTTGGCTCTCTTGCATCTTATTTGATGTTCTGTGGTACAATTAGACTGATTCAAAGTCAGCTATTAAAAAAACAGTTGAAGCCTGAGATGGAGCCGAAGCTGAGTATTGGAAAACGGCCCATGATGCTTGCAAGGTCAGCTCTATCAGGTGACTTTGTGCCAGAACTATGGGCATAGTGACCTTTCCCAGCATGCCCTTTGTCCCTTCTGATACAGCAATTTTCGTCCAACTTCAACGCTAAATATCTCAATTTAGTAATGAGGGATTTTAAATTGCATCGGTACAAACATGTTTTAGAACGTATCAGTGATGTCTGGAATGGTCTGTTTTTTGCACAGCCAATCAAATATTTGCAAATGGAATTTTTTGTCAGTGTTTTTTGTTCATATGCTCCAACATTTCAGAAAAGCATCTCATAACATGGAAACACCCACACTTTCTGTGGTGGGCTGCTAGAACGGGCCTTGTGATTAGTAGATTGCGCGAGATTTGTGACATTAATAGCCTATATGGGGTAATACTCCAGACTATAGATTGACCTATCCATTTTGAAATGCCAAATTGGCTTGTGATTTGATGGAAAGTACCTTGGAATAGATACATTTTTCACATGAAAGTAAACATGCACTATGCTGTAAAAACTGAATGTTAATATCTGCCTCAAGCAGAAGCACTCCCTCATCGATTGAAAAGAGCTGCATTAGTCAGGAATATTGGTAGCGATGCGACTGCAAGGCTTGCGTTTCTGAATCTTTTATGAACCAGTGATTCACAGTTAGTCCCAAAGGAGCCTCAGTTGCCGAGGAAACAACGCCCTCTCTTGGTCCGGAGCAAGGCCCATAGACCTTATTATCATTACAACATTCAAATTCACAAGGTTTTCTTGGGCCAACTCGAGGGATATTATTTTCACTTATGCCTCCATAATCCCATTCTAGCTTGAACTCAGTTCACGTGTAGATGTGTTTGCACTTGGGGATGAGTATGAATGTTTCGTAGTATGGGGCTCATTTGTCTCTGTCACTTAAAACTCTTGTACTAAAAAAGGAATTAATTAAAAAAAAAAAAAAAGACTGCTTCTGCAATTGTCAAATCTCTGCTTATGGGCCGATGTATGTGAAGTACGTCATACTTTGATTGAGACCAATGTTGACAATTTTTTGACTTGGTCAAAGTATGATATGGAAATAAACCAATTTTAGACCTCCATGGTTGGCATCAAGCCTAGGATTGGCACTTGAGTACAGGAACCTCAAATTGCGATTTACGCAAGTTTTTTGTACATCTTTTAATTTTTTATCGTCAAGGTTTTTCCTTTTTAACTCCAAGTTCCTTGTGTTTATTAGTTTGTCCGATACTCCAGTAAATGATTAATTTTGAATTTCATTTTTCCAGACAATGAAGCTGTCCCAGTGCAGAACCCTCTCACTCCAGATTCCAGCCTGCCACCAGACTCACCCGTCCTCCACCAAATGGAACCTCCTGCCCAGTCAGCCAGCCAATCCCTGCCCCAGGTGGACCAAATGTACAGTGCGCCGGCACCACTCGAGAACAGGATGGGGGCTGCAGCCGACGCCAGCGACCGTGCTGACGGAAGGGATGTTTTGGTGATGATGGTTGAAGGAGGTGGGGTGTTAGCGGAACAAGTTGGCCCAGGACCGTCAGGTGCCTCTACATCTGCAGCAGTGGCAGAGCACCAATTTGAAGGGCGGCGCTCTACTCGGTTGTCGCAGCTTTCTCAACTACCAAGTACTTCTGGGAAGTACTTTGGAGACCAAGAGGCAGAATCTTTGGGTATGTATTTCTGGCATTCATAATCTCAGACTCTATGATGGACAAGATATGTATGTTGATCAGTTGCATCTATGTGGGGCACATTCTGGGGCAGCTTGCAAAGTCAAAGTGTGCTCAACATTTATGCTGGTCGAAATTCGGTTTCGGATCAACTATGGTACTTTTCCCCAAAGTGTAGTTATTTATATAATCTTGGGAGTCGGGTTGGTGTAGTAGCTCTTTCCTCGCCTTCCACCTCTGCAACCCAGGTTTGAATCCCACCCACAGTAGGTCAGAATGTGGATTGAATTTTCAGTCCCTGCCTGATTCCGTGGGTTTTCCGGGAATATGTATCCGGGGTTTTCCTTTCTTCTTAATTGTCACGTCGTCCTGTAAATTGGTGCTAAATGTGCTGTTTGATGAACAGATATATAAATAAATGAAATAAACATAAAAACTACATGTAGTTTGTCAGTATTTCTTTTTTGAATATCATACTGTGCATTAGGAATGGATTTTTCAAATTTGCTGCAGTTGGAATGCTCATGTTCAAATTAACCGAAACTGTTCAGGAGAAGTAATCTAAGGTCTAGTTTGGGCAGCCTTTTCTTGATATGGGTTTCTTGTTCTTGCATGCAATGGCGGGAACAGGACCCTGTTCTTGGAACAGGATCACACACCACCTCATCAGGATTTTGCATGAACACGCCAAAAAGCATGCAGAATTCTAATTTCTGAAAAGCTGCAGAAATAAAAATAGTAAGATGGTTGAACAAGCTGGAGACGGTAGAAAAGGTTTTGTGAAATTAATAGTCCTAAATTAATATCATTAATTTTTATATACAGATATCAACATTCTTTTTTAAATAGTAAAGAATGCAGCCTAGAAGTCCAAACAATAACAATTTAAAATGTTACATGGACACTGCCATGTTGCATGAATATACAGGTACATGTACATGTATGTGGCCCACCATCCCAAAGCCAGGCTGAAGTAGGTAACTTCACAACCCTAAAATATTGGAACTTCCACTCTTCAGATTTTCATGGGAGTCTTACAGCTATCACTACCCATGGAAAGCTTACTGCAGACAGAATTTTTGATTTAAAATGGATCACTTTAAACGTGTAAAAAAAGCTGAACGAGAGGAATTGTCCAACATCACAAATACGGACTTCAGCCTAGTTTTAGGATGGTGGGTCACATACATGTATCACTAACTGCCAGGGATAACTAATTCTACACTCCTGGTGTTCGAGGGGCCAACCCACAAACAACAAATCGAGCTGTTCATGAACATACGAGAACATGCCGCCCGAACTTGGCCTTAACGTGTAGACTTAATTTCCCGTTTTGAAATATGCACAGATAAGGGGGCCACATTCTTGCTGTCTACGAAGTAGCTCTGTATTAGCTGTAATGTCACTTTCAGTGTGTTTCTGTGCATTT